TCATCCCTGACCACACCTCTCTGATATTGTTCTGCTGGAGCTTGCTCTCCAGCTTCTTCTTGTCTACCTCCTTGCTGTTTCTTACCTTGACTTTTAGTTGCTTCTGTGTACTCCTCAATAATTCCCTGTCTCCCTCCCTGAAGGCTCTTTTTTTCTGGTTTAGCAGTTCCTTCCTTCAGGTCAGTGGTGATCCAGGGTTTGTTATTGGGGAAGCATCGCACTGTTCTTGTGGGGATGGTGTTGTTTACACAGAAGTTTATATAGTCGGTCACACACTCAGTCGTGGCATTGATGTCCTCTCCATGTGGCTGGCACAGTGCATCCCAGTCTGTAGCCTCAAAACAACCCTGCAGGACTTCTTCAGCTTCCGTTGACCATTTTCACACTGTTCTCTTTATTGCAGGTTGCCTCTGAACAAGGGGTTTATATTTTGAGCAGAGAAACAAGACTGTAATCTGATTTGCCAAGAGGGGGTCTTGCTTTAGCGATGTATAAATCCTTGACATTTGCATAAAACAAGTCCAGCGTTTTCTTTTCTCAGGTAGAGCAGCTGACAAACTGTTGGAATGTCGAAAGTGTAGCAGAGAGAGAGGCATGATTAAAATCCCCAGATATTGCAACAAACGCACTAGGGTGTTGTGTCTGTAGCTTAGCAACCTCGGAGCTGATGACATCACACGCAGTCTCGGCAACAGCATTGGGTGGAATGTAAACAGTTGCCAAAATAACACTGGTGAACTCTCTTGGCAAATAATATGGACGACAACTTAGCGCTAACAGTTCAATATCTGGACTGCAGAGACGACACTTCACAGTAACATGTCCAGGATTACACCATTTGTTGTTCACAAGCACTGCCAACACACCTCCTTTCCTTTTGCCACTTCTCTTTAAGTCTCTATCTGCTCGTATGGTCAGAAAGCCTGGCAATGAAACGCTGGAGTCGGGGATATGATCCTGCAGCCATGTCTCAGTGAAACACATAACACTGCATTCCCAATACTCTGGATGGGTCCTTGTTAGGGCTTGAAGTTCATCCAACTTGTTTCCCAGCAATCTCACATTGCCCATCATGATCGATGGAAGAGATGGTTTAAACTTCATTCTTCTCTCTTTCTCCCTCTTCTTTGCTCCAGCTCTGCATCCACGATGCCTCCTTTTCAACTCATTTGGGATTTGGAGCTGTAGTTGAGATATTATTTGAACTTTGGAGCTGTTAATCAGCTGCTCTCAGTTGTAAAAAACAACCTTGTTGTTATGGTTACGCATCATAACAAATGTCCAAAAGCAAAGATTTCTGTAAAAAAAAATCCTTCCAGCAGCACAGCATCCAACACCAGAGGAAATAGTCATCCAAAAAAAGCGATTTATATCCAGAAAAAGGAGGAATTAAAGTTTTCAAACGTAATATCTCAGAACGAAAGTAACAGAGCTACTCCAACATGCAGCCACCTTGAGCAGCACAATTCTAGAACTATGTAATGCAGACTGAAGCAATAATAGCTAAGCCCCTCCACAACCTACATTATACCTACCTAAACCACTGTGGCTGGATCACGCCAAAACTGAAAAAGCTCCTTCCGTGTGAAACCATTTATGATGCTGCTGTACTCTGCTTTTGTTTTTGTGCCTACAAAATGCTCTCCTGCACCCTCACCTGGCATGACTCACTTGGATTGTGTCAAAACGCAGCTCCTGGTATCATGTCTGCACTAGTTAATTTCTACATTTTTATCAGAACTGTTGTGACTTTTATGCATGAGGTTAGCGTGGCCAGTCCTGCTCCAGATTTTGATGACTAAGTTATGCTGGTGCCCCACGTTGTGTCATCACACTTCTTCCACCTCCACCCGGGATCCCAAAATGGTGCCACCATAATAATAAACCACCACAAGATGAGTAAAGAAAGTTTTATGCATGCTCAAGACCAGTGCATACCTATCATGCTTTATTAAATTCAATTCAATTCAATTCAAAAATACTTTATTAATTCCAAAGGGAAATTATTTGTTGTTGTAACTCGTCATCCTCATTTCATTAAGCGATGTTAAAGATACTGATGGCTGTAGACAGGAAGGATCTCTTGTAAAGGTCTATCCCACAGTGGATCCTAAGAAACTGGCTGCAGATGTCGTCCGATCCGTCCACCCAGACTTGGCTGGCCTCTCAGTTCCCCCGGGCTGTAGGACCGCCCGAATGCCGGACAGAACTCCTCCCAGAGCGATGGCCACTCCTCCCAGCAGCCTGCCGAGCTCCTCGTTGCTGTGGACAGCCAACTGTAGGTGCCGAGGGACGATCCTGTCTTTCCGCTGCCATGAGCCATGTTTCCGGCTAGTTCCAAGATCTCAATGGTCAGGCATTCGAGCACAGCTGGCAGGTAGATGAGAATGCGTCCACAGAACATCCTTTTCAACTCATTTGACATTTGGGGCTGTATTTGAGATATTATTTGCGCTTTTGAGATGTTAATCAGCTGCTGTTGGTTGTAGAAAACTGCCTTGTTGCCATGGTTATGCATCATAACAAATGTCCAAAACTAAAAAAGTTTCAGTAAAAATCCTTCCAGCTGCACAGCATCAGATACCAGAGGAAAAAATCATCCAAAAAATGTGATTTACATCCAGAAAAAGATAAATTAAAGTTTCCAAAAGTAAAATCTCAGAATGAAAGTAACAGAGCTGCTCGAACATGCAGCCACCTTGAGCGGCACAATTCTAGAACAATTCTTATCACAGGTAATGTGAACTCAACAGGTTTTCTATGTGCCATAGACCCACACTAAGACCCTGCAAAGACCACCCGCACAGTGGTTGACTGTTCCATCATAGTGGAGTCGTCATCCAGTTTATAGGAGGTGTAACAGTTCAAATGTGTCTGCATCTGTAAACACACTAAATCAAATGTGACATGCTACTAATATTAATAGGCTTTTTTCTCATTAGGTCTGAGCTAAGTCCAGTAATCCATTTCAGAGCAGTTTATAAGTCATCAGTCTTAATCCTTCTGGATACTTGCAGCAGTTTGGATGTTTGAAGGTCATAGCTAATGTGTGTGTTGTGTACGTTAGCAGCTCAGTGATGTTTCTGTTTAACTGCACGGTGGTGCAGTTGGTAGAGCTGCTGCCTCTCAGCGAGAAGGTTGCTGGTTCAAATCCCAGCCGGGGGCCTTTCTAGGTTGAGTTTGCATGTTCTCTCCGTGCATGCGTGGGTTTTCTCCAGCTACTCCGGTTTCCTCCCACAGCCCAAAAACATGCATGTTAGGCTGATTGGTAACTCTAAATTGTGAGTGAGAGAGTGAATGATTGTTTGACTCATTTATCTTTGTGTGTCTCTGTGATGGACTGGAGACCTGTCCAGGGTGTACCCTACCTCTCACACAATGACAGCTAGATATGAGCAACAGTGACCCCCTGCAACCCAAAAAAAAAGAGGAAGCGGGTATAAATGGATGGCTGTATGGATGGATGCTTGTGTGGTCCAGTGTTTATATTTAATTTTGCCTCTTGACAGCTCCCCTGGTACAGTGTTGTATTTCGGTAACTGGGGCAAAGTACTGAAGGTAAAATCAAACTCAAGAATTGATCCCATCACGTTAGTATTGATACGGTCCAACACTAATGTTAGCATGATCCATTGGTGTAGATTCTCAACCATCCAGGCCATGGGAAATTAAAAGAACAAAGATAAAGTAAATTGACATTTTCTGTATCTGAAGATGTATAGAGTTCTGAGATTTAACCTGAACAAGGTTGGTACAGTATTATTAATAATATTTGAATCAATCTGCTTACCTCTACCTCACTGATGTAAAATTCAGATGAAATGTAACACGACCAATCAGATGGAGGTTGCTTTGAAAAACATTGAATATGAGTCCAATATGTGAGTAGTTGTTTAGTTGCTCTCTGAGGAGGGTGCTAACTCTCCCACACTTTGAAACCCCCTGGTTTAGGTGAATAGATCTTCTATTTAGTTGCTAAATATTTATTTCAGGCTACTGATAGCTGCTTTAAACATATTATCTTCAAAGAGAAGACTTTAAAGCCTGTTTAAACATTGCAGAATCCTCAAGCATAATGACCCCTGTAGGGCTGGTTTTGGTCTATAGATTACATGGAAGGAGTAGAAGAAGGAATGATACAGCATGAATGCTTAGGAAGTCAGTCATTTTCACTTAATATGCCTTTGCAGGCAGCCCAGTGATCTTGTATTAAATTTAAGCACCTAAAACCATCAGAGCTGACTAATTACCTTCAGACTGTTAATAAACTCCACCTCTAGACGATCACACTGAATTACCAAAACTAGCTTACACAGCCATGGATTATATGAAGAGAAATGAAGATCTTAAAACAGCCCATAAATCTCCAAGTGTTCTCTAGTAAAATGAGGTGCTGAACGTCTCGGTGTGCAACACAGTATTAAAACTGAGATTTTCCCATGTGCTTGTAAGAACGTGCACAGAGCTCTTTGCTAACATAAAGATATGTACTGTGGGATGTGGGTCTTTACAACTGGGTGGAAGTCTGCTTGTGTCAGTGAACAGCTGGAGTGGACATTTACCGATTGTCTTGGCAGCTTTCAGACAAAGGAAGATGCTATTCGGAGGTTTTCCTGGTTTGAAGCACGGAGAGAAGTAGTCTGTCTGCCTAGACTGTCATGATGACAGATGAGAGCGGTTATCACAGTGTGTGCATGTGTGTGTGTGTGTGTGTGTGTGTGTATGTGCACGTGTAGATATCCATGCTGACAGTTACCTGGCAAAAATCTGTGTCAGATGTTCAGAAAGGAAAAGGTTTTTTGTTGTTGTTACATGAGGCTTTCGAGAACAACTTTCTGGTCCAAACTGCAACTTAAGATTTTTTATTTATTTTTTTACTTTCAGCTGGCAGCATAACATGAATCATTTTGTCATCTATCTGGAAGCCTAATCTGATTTAAAGCATTGAAGTAGATATGATTAATTAGATTATGGTTATGTCTGCAAGTGTGCGTGTATACCTCGGGCTGGTGCAGGAGCGCTCCTTGTACATAACCCCTCCTCCACATGTTCGGGAGCAGGCGGACCACTGAGACCAGGCTGACCACTGGCCGTGGATGGCCCGGGGACCGTGCTCTCCGAATTTCACACACTGTCCCTTTCGACACCACTGAAGGGAAAAGAGATGGAAATACAAGAAGAAAAGAGGAAATAGTTTTCTTATCAGTGCTTGGGTGTCTTGTCTGAGTTTTATGGTTTGGAGAAATGCCCAGCACCACACCTGGACACTCAAAAACACTAGCTGCAGCCAAAACATGCGCACATCCATTGTGCATTAAGTTCCAGCTGATCCAAGCCAAAACCTGTTTTCACACATCACCACCTTTCTCTATGTCAACATGTAAATTTTCTACATGCAGAAGTATGTGCAGTGTTTAGTGCAAAGCTCTAAACACATTTGCAGGTCTACTAATGCATGCATGAATAGTATAGTTTAATCTCTGCAAAGATGTTTGCTAATATTTCTTTACTTATCACTAAATAGAAATGAGAATCTTTGCTCACCATGTCTGGACCACAGGTGGTTCCTTCTGCAGCAGGCATGAACTTGGTCTCACACCGATGACCTGCACGGTGACACCACAGTGACTTACAAATGTCCTGTCGAACAAGAAACACACAAATACAACAAGACATTAGTCGAACTGTAAGCATGGTTGATCCCATCAAACGTTCCTCTTTCCAGACCAAAGAGCACCATAGTCAAGCTGGTCAATAAGCCCACACCACCTCCAACAGGCCTCACCTCAAAGCCTCTCTGTCAAACTTAATCAGGGTAGTTCTTTAATTAAATGAGCTTTGATTGTGTTTGTCATATGACCCAACAAAACATGGCCAGAGCAAGCAAGTGGCCCAGGAAAAAGTTGGGGTTGAAAGACAGGCGGTATAAGCGGGCAGCCAGCCTAACGGCAACAAGCAGCGAGAGAGAGACGCCATGGAAGGCAGGAGGTGTACAAAGTACAAACGAGACTGCTCCGTGTTTGACTCCGTGTTCTCAAGCAGGTCAACTTCACTGGCACCAAACAGATGGAAGAAAGCAAAGCAAGCATGCTGAAAAAATATGGCACATGAGCCCTCAGGACACCAAAATAAGAGGTGACAATGTGTGAACAACTGCTTGATATCCTCTGTTAATAGGGATGAAGGGTGACTTACCACCCACCCCTTGTACATAGGTCCAAGACATGCAGCCATAGAGTAACACAGGAGGAATTTAGGAAACACGTGAACAGCCAAGGTGCTGTCATGTGAGCTAATCTGGCAAATTACAATTTGGCAAGCTTCCCAGCAACCCTGCATAACAAAGGCTTAATGCATTTTAAACAGCATTTGCATGTGAATCAACATTTCTGAATGCATCTTGCATAAAAACTTGTTTTATGATTAAAATGATTCTATGCAGTGGTGTGTAGGGGGTAACGACTGAAAGGATGGAATGCATTTTATTCAAAGGATTAATAATGAGGTGGTTAAAAATGCTGTGCAAATAACACATTAATTAATAAAGTGCCAGATTAGCACTGAATGATTATGGCTCTAAAGCAAATCATTTCAGCTTCTGTATTATAAATTACGTCTCATTACTGGGGGGCCTGCAGTGTGTTTCAGAGCATGGTGATCATATGGTGATTTAAAGCTCTGAAGCTGTCAGATAAATATGGGGTGCTGTTTGTAAAGTTACACAGTCAAAAATTAACAGCAATATTTTTGATTTATTTATGCCTTTCATAAGAAAAAAATTTTTTTTTCAAAGTCATATTTTCACCATGATAATCTTACATTTATAAATGTCATAGTTCCAAATTAATATTTAATTTGCATGCTAAATATTTAGTATACAAACTAAATACTTAACTTGCAAGTTAAATATTTAGTTAGCAAGCTAAATATTTAGTTCCACAATAAATATTTAGCTTACAAACTAAATGTTTATGTCCAAGCTAAATGTTTAATTTACTACTAAATGTTTAATTTGTAAATTAAATATTTAGTTAGTAAACTAAATATTTAGGTGTAAATTTAATATTTATTTTCAAAACTAAACATTTAATTTCCAAACTAAACATTTATTGTCCAAGCTAAATATTTAATTTTCAAACTAAACATTTAATTTCTAAACTAAATATTTAATTTACCAGCTCATACCTAAATATTTAACTTGCTAGCTAAATATTTAGCTTACTAGCTAAATATTTAATTTGCAAGATAACATTTTGTTTGTAAATTAAACATTCAGCTTGGACATAAACATGTAGTTTGTAAACTAAATATTTAGTGTGGAACTAAATATTTTGCTTGCTAACTAAAATTTTAACTTGCAAATTAAGTATTTAGTTTGTAAACTAAATATTTAGCTTGTAAATTAAATATTTAGTTTGGAACTATGACATTTATAAATTATGAATAAAATGGTGAAAATATGATTTTGAAAAAAAAAATTTAATTCTTATGAAAGGCTATAAGCTAAAAATATTGCTGTTAATTTTTACTGTGTAACTTTACAAATGGCACCCCATAAATAAAACACATAGATACCATATTATAACTGTATGAGTCATAGGTAGTCAGCTGTAATTAAGGCAAAATGAAAATGCATATAAATTAAGACTGAAGATAAAAAATGCATCTGGTGAATATACAACCTTGACAAAATCCAGGCTGCACAGTTTGACCTTTGATCCAAACTGCCACTTGCACTGCGTGTCGGCGTCATACAGCTGCCCGGGAAGCTGCTCAGGATACTTGTACTGACCGATCTGTTTAGGCTCGTCCCCGAGACAGGATGCCTGGGCTGTTCTGGTGAATATAGCACACCAACAGGGTCAGATTAAGAGGAGCACAATAACCATGTGAGGCTAGTTTCACATGTGTGTTTGTAGGGCCTACCCAAGGAAGCGGCTGAGGTACTGTCGACTGCACATGGACCACGAGAACACCCCATTGTTACCAGCCAAAGTGGGTGACATGATATTGCCCTCTGTCTTACGACAGGGGTTCCCCTCCCCATCATGGATCATCCCAAAACTAAAAACAAAACATTAAAACAAGGATTGAGTGTTTTACTAGTAGACACTGATTGCTGTGTGAATTGTTACTGAAAAAGGTCTGGAGGTATAATAACACCAGTTATTTAAAAGCTATGGCTTTTAAATGATAAATATGTCAAAGTCTCATGTTTCTTAAATGAATGAGAGTTTGTGATGACCTTATGGAAGTCCTTATGGAACCTTATCCTTATGGATCCTTATGGATGGATGACCTTATGGAATAATCAATTTATTAGGCTGATGGTCCTCCCTTTGCATGTGAACAGCTAGTTTTGGCTGTTCCCCGCAAACTGGTTGATCCACTATGAGAAGATGCCATTTATGACTGAGTTTGTTGCAGCTCCTCAGACTGAGGAGGTCTTTTGGATAAAAGACTAAACGTTTCAACAAAGCACCCGTCAAGAGGACCTATTTAGATTTATCTACCTGGATTATTGAGCGTGCATCAGGACACTTTATGGAAATGTTACCTTCTTACAGCATCTTTTATGAACCTCTATGAATACAGTATTGATTTAAGTTTAGTTAGCAACTTAATAATTTGCTAATATACATTTTCAGAAGTTGACTTTGTTACTATAGAAGATAAACACTGAGTTTTGTTTATGTTTTGTAAAGTTTTAATGGGCAATTACAGTCATTCTAATTTGAGATAAGGTGTATGATGTGCATTCAGTTATGATAGTTAGTTTAGCTTAACCTTTATAATAGGAAGACGTTTGTAAAGAGACATTTAACAAGTGTTAAAAGATGTGTCTTTAAACAGTTAGAATGAACTCAGCTCATCACAGTGTTAAAAAAATGAAAAAAAAGAACACACTTGTGTCCCGACTCGTGAGCGATGGTGAACGCCAAGCCCAGTCCTGTGTCTTCATTGATGGTGCAGCTCCTGTACTTACTGCACATTCCACTGATCGGAGCAAAACCTGCAAGGAGAAAGAAAGAAAGAAGAGAGGTGAGTCGTCTTGGTATCAGGTACTTCAGTGAAATCATGAGAATATTTTTCTTTCTTTGTAGTCTGTGTTCCACTCAGTCAGAACATTACTTTATGACATAAGTGGCAGGCAGCAAGGATCAGCAAGGATCTATAAAACATCTATAACATCTATACATGTAGGAGGCCCAAGCCTCCCTTGCAAAAGAGATCTGGGAACTCAATGAGATTTGCCTGGTTAAATAAAGGTTAATAAATGAATGGGATAATAATGTCTCACAAGTTCCAGATGAGCAAGGTTGTTCTCAGAATTTTATAACTAAATTTGTAACAACATCAGTTTATTGTGGTCCTGACATCCATCCATTTCTATAATCACCGCATCCTAATCAAGTTTTAATCGAAGCTGGGAGTTTACAGTAGTCCCTCGCTGCTTCGCAGTTCGACTTTCGTGGACTCGCTCTTTTGTAATTTTTTTTCAACGATTGTCAACTTTAATATTACTCACCTGATTGCAACAGTACGGGATAAAAGTTGCCGAAAAAAAAATGCTTCGGACAAGTGCCGCCATTTTGAAGTTTTCTTTCAATAAGCCTACAGCCTGCAGAACCAAAACCGATCCTGACCAGAACCAAGCTACTGATCTGCAGAGCTGGTGAGTAAAAATTTTCAGTACTGTACAGTACATACTGCATATGTATGTTGTTAAAATTACATAGGTTTAAGAGTTTAGAACATTGTAAGAGTGTTTGTGAAGGCTTATAAAACCTTTATATATATATATATATATATATATATATATATATATATATATATTTTTTTTTTTTTTTTTTTTTTTTTTTTTTTTTTAATTAATTAAAGTGTTCCTACTTCGTGGTTTTTCACCTATCATGGTGGTGGTGTCTGGAACCCCCCATGATAATCAAGGGACTACTGTATACAAGATGCCAGTGGATGAGAGGCGGAGAACATCCTGTACAGGTGTGGGCTCCACAGTTTTAGGAAGAAAATAACTAACTCTATGTGGGATTAACTGTTACTGAAAAGCAAGTAGAAATTTGCAGTAGTGGTCCATGTTCCATCTCCTATTCATCTGGGTTTTTTGTTTTTTTTCCTGATATTAGTTTCTCTCCAAATCAAACATAAAAAAAAATGTGCACATCCCTTACAATCTGCTCATGTTGTGAGACGAGGAGAATCCTACCCAGCGTATCACAGGGCTCGTTCTTCCAAGAACAAATGTCAAGTCCAGTGAGGAGAACAGCATGGTCATGACGTTTGCCTCCTTTCCCCACCAAACCCGACTGCCACTGGCAGAAACTGTTCAGTGACTGGTCAGCATGGTGATTTATGTTCAAGCCAAGCTGGAAAAAGAAGAGGGGGAAGCAGATAACAGTGACAAATAATCAGTGTGCAATGGAGCAAGAAAAATCTTGGTTAGGTTATAAATTGTAGTTTGAGTTGACTCACGGGGTCCTGTTCCAGCAGCAATAAGCTAACAACCACAATGTTGATGTCCGTGCCAATGGTGCCATCTTTAAAAAGACTAGAAACCTGCAAAGAGATTCAGGTCAGCCATGTGTGGTAACACTGAACTTATTTGTTGTTGCCGTTTTTTATTTTGTTTTTGGACTCTTGACAACAGGGCGGTTTAGTCGGTAGAGCTTCCACCTCTCAGTGGGAAGGTCGCCGGATTGAATCCTGGCTGGGGAGGACTATTCTGTGTGGAGTTTTCATGTTCTTTCTGTGCATGTGTGGGTTTTCTTCGGGTACTCCAGTTTCTTTCCACAGACCAAAAACATGTTAGTCTGACTGGTAACTCTAAATTGTCCCTAGGTGTGAGTGAGAGAGTGAATTGTTTTGGTTTCCATGTGTCTCTGATGGACCAGTGATCTGTACAGGGTGTCCCCCGCCTCTCGCACAGTGACTGCTGGATATGGGCACCAGTGACCCCTGCAACACCTCTAAAAGATGGTCTAAAAATACAAATCTGTCCAGAAAAGTAGTAAACACCCTAAAGGGTTTCACGAACAGTGGTTAGCTCTAGTTTGGCCAAAGCCTATGTAATGTAGCTCTTCACTTTGAGATTGAAGTTATATATTAAAAGACAAAAAATTAAAAGAAAAATAGCACTTCAACAAACTTCCCATGTGTTTTTTCCCCCATCATTAGCCCCTCTTGTCCTTTCCCTCCCTTGTCTTTTCCATTCTCACCATATTCATGACAGTGAGGACGTAGGTGGTGACATCGTCCCTGCCATGTTTCTCCAACATCTTCCTGTCTGCCACCACCAGGGTCTCCACATTCAGACCTCCCACCCTGTTAGAGTTGATGGGAGATCTTTTTGTCCGCCCTGGTTCTTCCACCTCAGGCTTAGCGAACTCGTCAGGCATGATGAATCGATCCACTGCTGGTGGTTTAGGAGCATCTAGCAGAAAAGGAGGAAGGAGAAAATGTGTGAGAGAAGGTGAATATAAGAGATATTAAAGGCAGACAGAGAACATACTTCTGTTTCCCTGACCATGGCTGGTGACTAAAGGAAGTCAAGTCAAGTCAACTTCATTTATAGAGCACATTTAAAACAGAACCTGTTATCAAAGTGCTTAACAACAACAGCAATCAATGAGTAAATTAAAGAGAAAAATATATAAACATATATATACAATACACTAATAATAATAACTGAAGAATTAATAAAAAGCATTTAAAACATAGGGTCACAGATAAAAAAAAAAACTAGATCAATTTACACTGTATGAAATGCCTGAGAGAACAAATGTGTTTTAAGCAGGGATTTGAAGTGAGGAATGGAGGTGAGGAATGGAGGTGGCCTGCCTGATGTTGGAGGGCAGGTTGTTCCAGAGTTTGGGGCCCATGACTGAAAAAGCCCAATCTCCTCTGAGCTTCAGTCTTGTTTTTGGAACAGCCAAAAGCAGCTGATCGGATGATCTCAGGGCCCGAGAGGGAACGTAAGGTTCCAGAAGCTCAGAGAGGTAAAGGGGTGCGAGGCCATTTAGGCATTTGAAGGTCAACAGAAGAATTTTAAAAACTATCCTCGTACGAACAGGGAGCCAGTGAAGGGAGGACAGAACTGGAGTAATATGTTCAGACATACGAGTTACGGTTAAAAGCCAAGCAGCAGCATTCTGGACGAGCTGAAGACGTGAGGTGGAGGCCTGGCTGATCCCAGCATACAGTGCATTGCAATAGTCCAATCAGGTCGTGACAAAGGCGTGGACTAGTTTCTCAAGGTCGGGTCTAGACAATACTGGCTTGAGCTTATCTACCTGTCTGAGTTGGAAGAAGCTTTTCTGCAGAACAGAGTTGATTTGTTTGTCAAACTTGAAGTCAGAGTCTAAAACCATCCTGAAATTTTTACCAGACTGCTTCAGATATGGCTGAAGAAAGTCCAGGTTGACAGGATCAGTGGTGGCAGTTGAGCTAGGGCTAAAAACAATGACTTCAGTCTTGTCATTGTTGAAACTTAAGAAATTTGAAGCCATCCAGGCCTTAATGTCGTCCAGACATTTTAACAGAGGGTGAATGGAGCAAACATTTGCTGCTTTCACAGCCAGGTAGATCTGGCAGTCATCAGCATAGCAATGGAATGAGAGACCATGTTTCCTCAGGATGGACCCCAGTGGGAGCAAATAAAGTGAGAACAGAAGGGGTCCAAGAATCGAACCCTGTGGGACCCCACAAGAAAGAGGTAATGAGGCGGATACATTATTACCAACCTTGACACAGAAACTCCTGCCACTCAGGTATGAGCGGAACCATTCTAATGCAGCACCTGTGATCCCAACCCACTGTTCCAGCCGTGATATAAGGATACTGTGGTCAACAGTATCAAAAGCAGCAGTAAGGTCCAGGAGCACAAGTACCACAAATTGACCAGAATCGTTTGATATCATGATGTCATTACAAACCCTTACTAATGCTGTTTCAGTGCTGTGGAGTTGCTTAAAACCAGATTGAAAAATTTCGAAGATTCTGTTCTCATTCAAAAACTTGTTTAATTGAATGAAAACTATTTTCTCCAGGATTTTGGACAGGAAGGGAAGTCTTGAGATTGGTCTGAAATTTGAGCACGTCTAAGGGTCAAGTCCAGGAAGGACTAAAGGAAGCATTATTCTTTCTTGTCTTTGTTTACCGCCATGACCCAACAGAGGACTGAGGATCAGTTTGGGGTTGCCAAAATGCCTTCAAATATTTTGCATGACAAATAGCTTCAATTATCAGTTTTCTAAACCTGCTTTATCTTGTGTAGTCATAAGGGAGTTGAAATCATGAACACTTTCCATGAGCATTCATCCTTAAGTTTTAGAGGTGTTTTTCTACTTTGTTGTATTGCAACACATAAGTTGGATGTATGGATTGTAGTAGCTGTAGTATATTTGTAAAAGGTAAAGGTAAGTATAAATGATTTTAAAAATTACTGTATTTTTCGGACTATAAGACACACTTAAAATCCTTCATTTTTTTCAAAAATTGGCAGTGCGCTTCATGTATTAATTCTGGTTGTGCTTACTGACCTCAAACGAGATTTATTGTGAATGAGTTGAATAAAGTTTGACTTATCTGACTGTTTTGTTTCGCTTAATGCGCCTTATGTATGAAAACAGATCAGTTCATTGATATTATTTATTAACCTTTATTTAACCAGACAAATCCCATTGAGATCACAGATCTCTTTTGCAAGGGAGGCCTGGGCCTGAAGGCAGCCTAACTTGATATTGCGTCTTATTCCGGTGTGCCTTAAAGTTTGAAAAATACGGTAAAGTGAAAAAACTTCAAAATGTTCTAGCATCAGGTCTACACTGCAGATGCCAGAACAGCTGTGCTGCAAACCTCCTAATGCTTTACCATATCTCTAATGGATTTCATAAGCGTTTAAAAGCTTAATCACTTCCTAACTGCATCCATAAATGTTTGGTGAAAGTAGATGTATGAGCTCATGACCGTTGTCTTCTTTAGTCTTAAAGTAGTTAGTTGTTAAAGTTAATAAGTTGGTTTACTGCAGTGGAATTTCTTCCCTATAAATGTGCAAATCAGGGAGTGAAGCATGTACAAATTTTAGGGGGTCCAGAAAAAAACGTCACCACTGAATATTCAACAGATTATTTTTATTGCTGAGTGTAACAGGAACTGCCCAATAACAAGTTCACATCTGTTAGTGTTTTTAATGTTAACTACCGTAGTTAAACTCTGACAATTAGTTTTAATGTTGTGTTTTCATATGACATGAAGTGATACCATCGTCATAAGTGAACTCTGGGTTGATATACTTGTAAAAGCCAATGTGCGAATTTACATTTGCTTATGCAGTTTTTTTTTTCCATTGATACATGGAAAATCAGCACATAAAATATTATTTGTGGCTAGATTCACTACATCAATCATGCAATCTGCTTTAACAAATATCAAACCAAAGGAATATGATATAAAGTATATAAGGTTCCCTTACATACATTGCTTGCGGCGCCCGCAGAAGTGTTGCCTCAGCAGTTTTCCATGCTGGTCGTCCTGTTGCGTTCGATGCTGCTGATAGTGAAAATAAGGATGGTCAGATCTGAAGGAACCGGTACTCCTGGTGCTGCGGGGTCTTCTGTGAACAAGGTGTTCTGCTGAGCGCTTGTAGACTACATGCGGGTGATGACCATCAGGAGTGCTGTAGTTGTGCTGCTCGGCTAGATGTTGAGGTAGTGGAGCAATTAAATACTCTTCGTTAAGGATGCGGATCAGTCCCGACTGAAAAAAAAAATACACACACACACACAAACCATAAGCAATGGGTACAGTCTAACAGAAGAGCTTCCAGATAAATAATAAAAATATATATATTTTCAGTGTCTTTGAACATCACAAATATTAGGACAAAGCCATCCTTTATAAGAAACACGATCATCTAAATGAACTTGAATGCAGATAAATTCAAAGTTCAGGGAAGATAGCTACAGCGGTGCTTGAAAGTTTGTGAAACCTTTAGAATGTTCCATATTTCTACATAAATATGACCTAAAACATCATCAGATTTTAACACAAGTCCTGAAAGTAGATAAAGAGAACCCAGTTAAACAAATGATACAAAAATATTATAATTGGTCATTTATTTATTGAGAAAAATGATCCACTATTACATATTTGTGAGTGGCAAAAGTATGTGACCCTTTACTTTCAGTATCTGGTGTGACCCCTCTGTGCAGCAATAACTGCAACCAAACATTTCCAGTAACTGTTGATCAGTCCTGCACACCAGCATGGATGAATTTTAGACCATTCCTCTGTACAGAACAGCTTCAACTCTAGGATGTTGGTGGTTTCCTCACATTAACTGTTCACTTCAGGTCCTTCCACAACATCTGGATTAGATTAAGGTCAGGACTTTGACTTGGTCATTCCAAAACATGAACATTCTTCTTGAACCATTATTTGGTAGAACGACTTGTGTTTTTCAGGTCATTGTGTTGCTGCATGACCCACCTTCTCTTCAGATTCAGTTCATGGACAGATGTTCTGACATTTTCCTTTATAATTCTCTGATATAATTCAGAATTCATTGTTCCATCAATGATGGCAAGCCATCCTGGTCGAGATGCAGCAAAACAGGTCCAAACTATGATACTATCACCACCATGTTTCACACATGGGATAAGATTCATATGCAGGAATGCAGTGTTCTCCTTTCTCCAAACATAACACTTTTCATTTAAACCAAAAAGTTATATTTGGTCTCATCCATCCACAAAACATTGTTACAACAGTCTTCTGACTTGTCCACGTGCTCTTTAGCAAACTGCAGACGAGCAGCAATGTTCTTTTTGGAGAGCGGTGTCTTCCTCCTTGCAGCCCTGCCATGACCACCATTGTTGTTAAGTGTTCTCCTGATGGTGGACTCATGAACATGAACATGAACATTAGTCAATGTGAGAGAGGCCTTCAGTTGCTTAGAAGTTACCCTAGGGTCCTTGGTGACCTTGTTGACTATTACACACCTTGCTCTTGGAGTGACCTTTGTAGGTCGACCACTTCTGAGTGAGGGTAACAATGGTCTTGAATTTCCTCCATTTGTACACAAACTGAGCAGCACAATGGTGCAACTGGTAGAGCTGCTGCCCCTCAGCGAGCAGGTCTCAGGTTCAAATCCCGGTCCGGGGTCCTTTCTGGGTGGAGTTTGCATGTTCTCTCCGTGCAATTTCTCCAGGTACTCCAGTTTCCTCCCACAGACCAAAAATAAGCGGGCGGACGGACGGACGGACGGACGGATGGATGGATGGATGTCCACAGCCTGTCTGACTGTGGATTGGTGGAGTCCAAACTCTTTAGAGATGGTTTTGTAATATTTTCCAGCCTGGTGAGCATCAACAACTCTTTTTCTGAGTTCCTCAGAAATCTCCTTTGTTCCTGCCATGACACACTTCCACAAACATTGTGAAGAGCAGACTTTGATAGATCATTGTTCTTTATCTCATACAGGGTCTCTACTCACACCTGATCATCATCCCACTGATTGACAACACCTGTCTCTAATTTCACCTAGAAATAACTGCTAAAGGTCCACATACTTTTGCCCCTCACAAATATGTAATATTGGATCATTTTCCTCAATAAATAAATGGCAAGTATAATATTTTTGTCTCATTTCTTTAACTGGGTTCTCTTTATCTACAATTAGGACTTGTGTTTTAGGTCATATTCATGCAGAAATATAGACAATTCTAAAGGCTTCACACACTTTAAAGTGCCACTGTAGATTTATTTTACATGTTTAGGACTCAAGTAAGACTAATCAACCTTTACAGACTGCTACAATAAAGTTAACAAGTCAAGCTGTTTTGACTCAAGTCAAGTGCTCAGATCGGCCCTGTGAACTGGAAGACTCAGCTCCAGAATCTTAAAACATTCCTCCTGACCATGGAGTTCTACCTAATTCACTTGGCAAAGCACAGAATGCACACAAAATAGCTGTGCAATCAAAAGACACACACTCGCTGAATTGAATCAAAACACAGTCATGCTCATGTACCCACTGACCCAGTGACCTGTGACCTGTTTGTGTGTGTGCATGTGTCATCTCCTTCATTGGCAGTATATTAGGTGTGTATGTGAGTGTGTGTTTGAGAGAGCACCCTGCTCCAGCTGAACTGACCCCAATCCCCTCAGACAAGCAGGTGACAAAATAAACAGAAGCTGGACAAAAGGGAAGCCATGGTGAGGCTCTTGTTGTCAAAACAGTGCCTGGATAAATGGCAGACTGCCACCATCTCATCCATCTATTCATCCATCCATCCAGCTGCCAGCACATCTTTTGAGTGTCCATTCACTGCTCCTTTCATTATTTCTTAACGATTCAGTGTAGAGTTTTACACAGAGTCTAGGGTCAGCGCTTAGGTCCATAGGTTGGCAGGTCTTTTCTGTCAATGGCTTGAAAAACAGCATGTTTAAAAAAATTCAACACAATGATCTGAATTAGAAGAAAGAAACTGTCTTTGGCACAAAATAACTGAGGCTTTCTCCAATAGATTGTAATTAAAAAGAGGTCAAAGGGCGCGTTTCCCATCAGCTTTCACTGCTGTCCCTTCTTGTTTGCTAGTCTTTTCATCTGTCTAGCATTTCGCATGTCCATTAAAGACAACATTGGACTAGATATTCCTCCTTTTACTGTTGTTTTCTTTGAAAAAAAATTTCAGACAAACAGCATCCGCTTACTCATTCTGCAAGAATTAGCGATAATTGTCAACCTCAGCCACGCCTTTATCAAGAGATTAACATGAATTATATTCTTTTTTTAACGTGGTGGGAGAGTATACTGTAATAAGACAATCATTCAGCAGCGCATTTAATTTCTCGTTTCACAAAGATGTAATTACTGACTCATCTAGAAACCACAAAAATGTAACATTAAAATCCTAGAAATACAGCTACAAGCTTTATGAAGTTCCTTCCCATCTTTAATGTATTTTTCTGCCTCCTCTTCAGCATCACCACATCTGCCAGCTCTACACTTTCTTTCCCAGCAGTTAGCAGATGGAAGTGTCTGTAATGATAATGACGGGAAATTAATTCCATCTGCAGCGTTGCATTAATGATGCTTTGTGTGTGTTTGAGTGTTTGGAGTGAAAATCCTTTTGTCAGCATGTGCTATATGTTTAAGTGGATGCCAACACTAAGCATCATATTACGTTGTTTGTTGTTTGCATGAATATGTTGACAGACGAGCACAGATGTTGTAGCTATTAACAAGCATGTCTAATGCACAGATTGGCTATAAGGTTTATAGACTAAACAAGATCAGCAGGGAGAATACTTTGAACTGGATGTGCACTTTATTGCAAAATTCAGAACCAGATCAAGATGTACCGTATTTTCTGGCATATAAGTCACAATTTTTTGCAAAGATTTATCAGTCCCACGACATATATATATATATATATTTTTTTTTTCATATTTATAACGAAATTATTGACTAATGCTTTAAATTTCAAAGAACTGCAAAAGCGAGTCCTCCCGTGCACGCTCGCTTCACTCAGCGGGTGCAGGCTGAGGAATGTTGGAGAGCTAGTGGCTCCGACTGCGATGGATGTATGGATGGATGGATGGATGTATTGATGTGTGTATGTATGATAAATGCATGTATGCATGCATGCATGCATGCATGTATGTATGTATGTGTATGTATGTATGTATGCATGCATGCATGCATGGATGGATGGATGATGGATGGATGGATGGATGGATGGATGGATGGATGGATGGATGGAGCCGTGCCGCCCAGGCAAAATGAAGTTGTTTTGACCATTAAATAAACATAATAAAAGCGACTTATACGCCAAAGCGATATGTTTTTTCCTCTTCAATGATGCTTATTCTGACTGATGCGACTTATTCTCCGGAGCAACTTGTCCGCTGGAAAAAAACTGGTACACACCCAACTAATAAAGTAAACTAGAAAGTTTCTGGAGAAACTTTGACGGGGGACTGTCACATCACGACCATTTTAAATTTTTGATCTGACAGTACTATGCCTCTCGCAGAGTGATGGCTGGACATGGGCACCAGCAACCCCCACGACCTGAAGAGGAATAAGTGGGTAAAGATAATGGATGGATGTGTTGGGGTTCACTCCCAGCTACAACCATACAAATTTCAGCTCGTTGTGGCAAAAAAAATCATTGACATAGTATTTTTTTTTCTTTTAAGCTATGGTGACCATCTTGGATCTTTGATTTGGATTCAGGATGCGATGGGGAACGTTCTCAGCTATAACCTCACCAAATTTCAGCTCTTTATGTGTAAAAACAGCTGAAGTAAATCCATTTAAATTTTGCTTTGGTGACCATCTTGAATGTTTTTATTTGAATTCAGTATTTATGCTCACAGCGACCACCACACTCAGTTTTACCTTAATATCTCTAAAAATGTCTGATTTATAATTAGTTTCAATGTGAAAAATTACATCTTTGATTGTAAATTGCATCTCTATGGTACTCGAAATGTCAATATAAGTAATGGCACACATCACGGTGCCGAGATTTGTGGGGTACACATTGCGGTCCAGGACGCATTAAAGGTGAAGGTCGACTCTTTTTAGGTGGATAATAATAGGTGGCAGCCTTTCTAGGAAGTCCCTAATTATTTTTAGTTTTATAAAACAAACACCAGCATTTAATTGAAGACATTTACCATTTATTTTAGTTTAAAATCTCCTAGTTTCTGATTGATACATGACTGTTTATTTTCTGTTTTATTCT